AAATAAAAAATAAAAACAATAAGTAAATAATAACAATAAGATGGTGGGAGAATGACCAAGATCTGGAAAATGCTGATGCAGGAAAAAGGGCCAGACTTTTGGCTTTGAACTTCACAAACCCTCTCGTTTACCCATCAGTGGCACAGGACCTCAGGGCTGTTCTGAGGTTTGAATAGGCCAAGAGGAGGTGAGAGGCAAGTGACAAAAGCACCTCTCCCACTTGGGTCCTAAGCCCTAGACTTAGGAAGAGACAGTGGGGACATCCAACTTGGCAGCAGACCAAGCTGTGATCTCTAACCCAGCAGGACCAAGATTCAAGTCCACACTGAGAAGGAGAAAACCTTAACTGGTGTAGAATCAGTAGAGGTAGGTTTGATTAATTAATAACAGATCTGGTTCTACAAACCCTAAATTAATAAAACACGCAGAGATGCTGCCTTAGCCCTTCAGATAAGGGGTTCAGGATCCTACAATTTCCTTAGTCCCTTCTTTGCTAAGTTCTCTACAACCCAACCAGGGAAGCCCAGCCTTAGACCACGCTCACATATGCATGACACACACACACTCAGGGACCTCACCACCAAGTTCTAAAATATTTACCAGCTTCTGTGCCACGATATTGTAGTGACTGAAGGACTGGATGAATGCCACAAAGCAGACTTTACAATTAGCTGGAAAACAAAATAAATTGATTTTTAATAAAGTCCCTGCTTACAACCAGTTTTGTACACTTCATACCTCTGGAAACAAAAGCACTGAGGCAGGTCTAGAGGCCCAGATGCCTTGCAACTTGACATAACCAATTTGATTCTAAGATGCACTTTTTTTTCTTATTTAATAGTTATACCTATTCCATTGATTCTGAGATGTACTTCTTCTGTTAGACGTATTACTAGGTATCTTATTTTGTTCTATTGTAAATAAATTGTGGTTTTTAAAAAATTATATTTCTCTGCTTGTTATTGGTGTACAGGAATACAACTGATTTTTTAAACTGGTCTTATATCCAAGAGGATATAAGGGGAGCACAAAGAAGCTCTAGCTACTTTACTGAACATAATTCATTCTAATAATTTATCTGTAGATTCTCTTGCTCTTTCGATGCTGACAATAACATCATCTGAAAAGAAAATAACTTCCAAAGATGTAAATTATTACAACTAAGAGTGCCAAGGTCTACCTATATCCTGGCCTGGTTCAGTAAGTACTCAAGAAGAATCAATTGATAAATGAGTCTTTTTTTCATTTGGCTGTTTTCCTATTCTAATATATTTCCATGTGTAAATTGCAGTGGCCATGCTGTTTTCCTCCCCGTGTTCTTTAGGAAGCGTCTACTGCCAGGGCAAAGTATCAACGGGTTGAGCGCCCTGAGATCTCAAGATACACAAGGACTGAGGAGCAAATAAATCAGGAGGCCACATAAACACCTCAGTGAGGCAGTGCCTGTGCAAAGTGTGGAGAAGGGGAAGGTAGGCTATGGATACAGTGAGCACATGCCACTCCTTGGCAGGGGTGGGGAGGGAACGAGATGGTCCAGTAATCTATTACCTAATAAACAGCCCTTTGGCTACCCAGACACCAAAGCTCTGGCTAGTTAACAATACTCCCATTGATTTCTGAAACAGGGGTGTTGTTCTGTTTTGGTTTTTGCCTTGAGTTTCTTTTTCTACAGCATCAATGAGATTCATACCTTTGAGGTAGAAGGAGAGAAAGTGGTGCACAAGGAAACTGCCATCTGTCTTGGCATCACACAGTAGAGTCAATTTCCCCTAAAAGTTGAAAGGAACACAAAAAAGTGAACTAAGATTCCCTGGAAAGAGGTCAGTTGAGTATAGAAATCTAGTTGGTTGTGTCCACTTCTAAATTTCTACACCTGGAGAGTCTATTTTTTAATTATATATATTTATTTTTAAATTATATACATACTAAGTTTACAGAAAAAAAGAAAAGAAGTCAAAATTATGGAAAATTTGACTTCACTCCTCACCTTAGTAAGTCAGTGACCAGTCTTGGGGATAATTAGATCCTGAATACATGAAGTTTTTGCCATCAGACTCCAACAAAAATCAGACTGCCAGGACTGGACGGGACCTTCTAAAAGGTCAACTGATCCAATTTCCTCCCTATTTCTAATTCTGATGCCAATTCTGTCCTATAGAGAGGAGGAGAGGGAAGAAGTAGTTGTTGACAGAGACCTCCAGTAACAAAGTTCTCCTCCCAATTGCCCTGGACACTGCTTCGGGCAGAGCTCTGATCATGGAGAGTTCTGGAAAGACCACTAAAGATGGCCCTGCTCCAGCCACTTCTAGTTCCTTGTCAGTGTCGGGGAAGGTCAGGATCAAGTGGTATTATACATGCCACCTCTGTGCTGTTGTGACTTTTTTTCACTTATAAAATACAAAAAGATCAGGGGCCAGCCAGGTGGCGTAGTGGTTGGGTTCCTACTCTCCGCTTCCGTGGCCTGGGGTTCACAGGGTCGGATCCCAGGCAGCATCCCATATAAAGCAGAGGAAGATGGGCACTGATATTAGCCCAGGGCCAATCATCCTCAGCGAAAAAGAGGAGGAATGGCAACAGATGTTAGTTCAGGGCTCATCTTCCTCAAAAAAAAAAAAAAAAAGACCACACTATCAGGCCTTAAGGGTTATCCCCAGCGCTGTCATTTTCTGGTGCCCACTTCCATCCTCCATTCCTTCACTCCGGCCCTGTGCTGAGGTCTTTGGAGGTGCCAGTAGTAACTGGCAAGGTAACCAGCGCCATCTGGAGGCACGGACAGACAAGAACTGCTGGGCCACTGAAATCTACAAGATCTATTGAAAGCTACAATTTGCCTGGCACTATGGGTCATAAAAAGGCTTTACACACATGGTGCCTTGGCTATCTGGAGGAGTTCATCATTTCATTAGGAAGACAAAGGTCACGAAATAAACCAAATATCTTACTAGGAAAGGTAAACTCTGTGCTAAAACGCGAAAAGTTTCGAGGTGCCCTAGAGTGCGGGAAGCAGGGTGGAGAAAAGTGCCGAGGCTATAGTGCCAAAGACAGACTGGATACAACCCAATGTTGGCTGAGAGCAGCTTCAAAGAGCACTATTGGAGTCCATGAAGAGGACGGGGGGGAGCAGCGCTCACTGCGACCTGGCAAATGCTCCCGGGCCACAAAGCGGTTAAGAAGCTGGCCCCATGTGAAGGGTGGAGAATCAAACTCCCCTCTCCTCTCTGGCAACCTGCTCTAGGCGCCGGGAACCCCCAGCCCAGTGAGCACGCACAGGGCTCCCTGGTACACGTCTGTGAACTAAGCCAATCCAAACGTCGAACATGCTTCCTGGGAACTTTCAAGAGCACACACGGCCTCTAAGAAGACGCGAGAAGGTCCAGAAGCCCACCTTCGGCAGGCCCAAGTATCTAGCCCAAGCCCCGAGGCGGCCGTCGCCGCCCTACAACTCCCAGGCGCCGCCGTGGCCACAGAGGTCGCGTCTTTCTCCCGGAGATGTAGTCTTCCGCCACGCTCCCGAGACCAGCCCCCTTCCCGACCGCGCGACATCTTACCTGCTCCGCCCTGTCAGGGGTGGTGTTGAGAAGGTTATTGAGTTCCGGGAACATTCCGAGCCCCGAGGACGAACGCCCCAAGTAGACGACGGAGAATACGGAGCAACCCACACATTGCAGGGTCGCGCGGAAGGAGCGCGCATGCGCAACGCCGCGTCTAGGCGCTTGCCGCAGCCAATCAGGCGGGCGCCTTGATCGGGGCCGCTCCCGGCGCACGCATGAGGACGCGACCCTGGCGGGGGTGCTGGAGAGTGAGGGGGTGTGTGGTTTTTTGCCTGAGGGTCCGAGGCTCCCGAGCCTTCGCAGTGGCCCCCGGCGCCCCACGCGACTGGGTCTTTTCCTCCTTCATTTGGCCTCACTCTCTACCCGGCCCCGGCCTTCTGGGCAGTACAGTCCGTCCCTCCACACGTGCCAGTCGAGTTACTGCTGTGTGTCCCACACTACTAGAAGTTCGGGCTGCTTCGGTGAGCGAGACGCGCGAAGGTGCGTGCCTTCGCGCAAAGTAGAAAAGCATCCAGGGCCGGCTTCGTGGCTTGGCGGTTAAGTGCGCGTGCTCTGATGCTGGCGGCCCGGGTTCGGATCCCCGGCGCGCCCCAAGGCACCACTTCTCTGTCCAACCCGAGGCCGAGTCCCACGTACAGCAACTAGAAGGATGTGAACCTATGACATACAACTATCTACTGGGGCTTTGGGGGGAAAAAAATGAATAAATAAAATCTTTAAAAAAAAAAAAGAAAAGCATCCAATCCAAACATACTAAACACGGAATTATATGCTGTTGAAAAGCTCTATGGAGAAAAGCAAAAGCAGAATAAGAGAGTAACAATGGGGGAGGGATAGGTTTTGAAATTAAAGAGGTTGTCAGGGTAGGCTCACTAAGAAAATGGAGTTGGAACACGCCCTGTATGCCCTTCCTCAGGGCCTTTACACTACCTGTTCCCTCTTCCTGGAATGCTCTTTTCCCAGATCCTCAGCCGATTAAAAAATTAAAAGGATTAAAAAATTCCTTCAGGTCTCTGCTCAGATGCCACTTTGTCAGCAAGGCCTTCCTTGAGCACCCTATTTAAATTGCAAACTGCCCCTTTCCCAAGGCGTCTTATCCTTTTCTCCTGCTTTTATTTTTTCCATAGCATTTCTTTCTGGTGTACCATATATAGGTCTAGCCCAATCGGCCTCAGATCACCAGGGACAAACCTGTAATTCGACAAAGTCAGGTTTATTGGCTCACTGCAGTGAGGAAAATAGCACACTAGTGGAGCCCTGGGGCCTGTCACCAAACAAAGGAAAGAGTTGTTTTAGGATTTGCAGAAGGGTGGAGTTCAGGTGAAATATAAATGAGGCAGTGTTTTGATAGGCTCAAAGCAGAGCACAGCTATGTGTAAAGGGGTCAATATCTGGCCTGGACTGCAAAGTGGACCAGAGTTTCCGTGGAAACTACAAGGTTAGGATAGATGTGGAATGTAGTCAGTTATCTGAAGCTTCGCACCTGAGCTGGAAATTGAGGCTGCCTCTCTGTGTCAAAATGACTTAGATCCTCCAAGAATGGGATGTTTTACGCTTACTGATATATGGGAAGAGAAAAGCAGGCCCTGGCATCCAGTAGCTGGCTCACAACTAGGTCTTGGTGTTCTCCTGTTGAGCATGAACAATTCTACAGAATGTCAACATTAGACTGATTGTGATGGATCAAGACAAATTTATACCACTCTACAAAACATGAACATTGTGCAAGCCACAAACTACCAAACATCCCCTCTCCCAGCTAAGGAGTGCTGCTTCTTGACCACTCACAGCTTTACTCTCACTCTAGTCGGCCCTCTCTATATGTAAGGCTTATTAAGATATCCAATCATAGCATTAACCCCACTTTCTTTTTTTTTTTTTAAAGATTTTTTTATTTATGTATTTATTTTTCCCGCAAAGCCCCAGTAGATAGTTGTATGTCATAGCTGCACATCCTTCTAGTTGCTGTATGTGGGACGCGGCCTCAGCATGGCCGGAGAAGCGGTGTGTGGCCGGGATCCGAACCCGGGCCGCCAGCAGTGGAGTGCGCACGCTTAACCGCTAAGCCACGGGGCCGGCCCAACCCCACTTTCTGACAGCATCCAATCCCAAGCAAAGCTGTGCTTCCTTAAACCCTCTTCCAAATCACCTAACAAGCCCAAATCCTATAATTATGTTCTGACAGTCTCTTAATGATACACCCCATGATTTCCCATGGTGGGCATTCTCTTTCACAGCAGTGAGTAATAAACTCAGCTTTTTCAACAACAGGTATGTTCCTGGTGGTCGTTGCCTAGAGAGAATTGACATATGATTTCAAACAGCAAAGTTGATGTTAGAGAACAAAGTTTCTTAGTAAGAAAGCAGTAGTCACTCAAAGAAACCTGTTACTATGAGACTACAGCTGCAGCATGTCCTTGAGAGAAATACCATTTCCCGCTAAAGCTGGCTTTATCTGTGGTGATGATGAATAGCAGGACAGGGTTTTACAGTCCGAGCTAATTTTTCATTTCTCAGTTTCCGTATTTATTTGAATCTTCGCACTGGATGGCAGGAGGGTTGGGATTTTTGTCTGTCTTATTCACTCTTCTTTCCTCAGCGCCTCAGACAGTGCTGGGCACGCAGCAGGTGCTCATTTTGAAGGAATGAACGTTCATATTTTTCTGCAACTGTGGGTTGTCTTTTCACTTTCTTGATAGTGTGCTTTGAAGAAAAAAAGGTTTTAGTTTTGATGAAGTCCAATTTGTGTACTTTTTTCTGTGTTTGTTCATGCTTTTGGTGTCACATCTAAGAATCCATTGCCAAATCCGAGGTCGTGAAGATTTACCCTTGTGTTGTCTCCTGAGAGTTCTATAGTTTTAGCTCTTACAGTTAGGTCATTGATCCATTTTGAGTTAATTTTTGTATGTGGTGTAAGGTAAGGATCCCTGTCAGCTGGTTTTTTGTTTTTTTTTTTTTTTTTTGTGAGGAGATCAGCCCTGTGCTAACACCCGCCAATCCTCCTCTTTTTTTGCCGAGGAAGACGGCCCTGGGCTAACATCCATGCCCAGCCTCCTCCACTTTATATGGGTCGCCGCCACAGCATGGCTCGCCAAAGCAGTGCGTCGGTGCGTGCCCGGGATCCGAACCAGCAAACCCCGGGCCGCCGCAGCGGAGCACGCGCACCCAACCGCTTGCGCCACCGGGCCAGCCCCATCAGCTGGGATTTTGATAGGGATTGTGTTGAATCTGTAGATGAATTTTAAGAGTATTGCCAACTTAACAATGTTGTTTTCCGATCTAGGAACTTTGGATATTTTTACCTTTATTTAGATGTTCTTTAATTTCCTTTGACAATGTTTCATAGCTTTCAGAGTATAAGTTTTACACTTTTGTTAAATTTATTCCTCTGTATTTTATTCTTTTTTATGCTATTGTGAATGGAATTTTTTTTAATTTCATTTTTCAGGTTGTTCCTTGCAAGTGTATAAAAATACAATTGATTATGTATATTCATCTTGTATTCTGCAACCTTGCTGAATGTGTTTATTCTAATAGTTTTTTAGTGGATTCTTTAGGATTTTCTATATATATAAGATCTTGTCATCTGCAAATAGAGATAGTTTTACCTCTTCCTTTCCAATCTAGATGCCTCTTATTTAATTTTCTTGCCTAATTGCCCTAGCTAGAACCTCCAGCACAATGTTGAATACGAGTGATGAAGGCAGATACACCCTTGTTTTTTCCTGCTCTGAGTGGAAAAGAATCCAGTCTTTCACCAGTAAGTGTAATGTTAACTGTGGGTTTTTCATAGATGCTCTTTATCAGGTTGAGGAAGTTCCCTTCTATTCCTAGTTTGTTTAGACCTCTTGTTCTTTTTGATGCTTCTTCCCCCAGCCCTGGGTAGTTTCCTCACATGCTGAATACTTGAGGGTGACCATCTGCAGACTTCCAGGTTCTCTCTCTGTGCAACTCTGTCCTCTCTGACACTCTGTCCTACATCTATGAACTCTGGTAGCCTTGGTCACCCCAGACTGTTAGCTCCATGTTTTCAACTCAGGGAGTATTCCACCTTAGTTCCTCATCCCTATCTGGAAACCCAAGGCAGTGACCTCGGACAATCACAGAGCCCCCTTGTTATTCTCCCATGGATCACTGTCCTTTGCTGCCTGATGTCCAATGTCTTTAAATTTGTTGTTTCATATATTTACATATTTTGTCTTTTTTTTTTTTAGTTGTTTTAAGCAAGAAGGTAAATCTAGTCTTTGTTACTTCATCCTGGATGGAAATGGAAGTCTGTGGATTATCTTTGGATGAACCAGAATTTAGCAAACTTTTGCTTTATTGTTTGAGCTTGTTTAGTCTTCTTTAAGGAAGTCTTCCTTACCCCAAAGGTCATAAGGATATTCTAGATTTTCTCTAAAAGTTGTAAAGCTTTTCTTTTCATATTTAAGTGTTTAATCCATCTGTAATTGATTTTTGTATTTGGTGTGAAGTACAGGATACAGATCAATTTTGGAAGTAGCACGTTCCATTTAACCTTGCTATAATTTGATCAGTATTGAATTGAATCTGTAAATACAGTTTGAGGAGAATAGGTATCTTCTTAATATAAAACATTGACTCTTCCCATATTTATTCATTTTCCTATCAATAGTGATGGGTTAGTCCTAGTTTTGTCCTATTAGAAAGAATACCCCTGTGAACATACTCAACCATGTATCTTGATAGACATATGCAAGAGTTTCTCTAGGGTATGTATCTAGAGTGGAATTGTTGGGTCACAGGCAAAGGTGAATTTACCATGAAGCTAATAAATCTATTTTTTTGTTCATAATGTTGTATTCCTTTTCTTAAAGAGAATTTCTCTCCCCTGTGGTGTAAGCCACAGGTCCCAAAATACCCGGATTTACCTCTAGTCACAGTTTATACACATGTTGAACAGACCAATGCAAATATGGAAAATTCAAGCAGAGAAGGATTTGACGCAGGAAATTGGGTGAAAGGGTGTTGGAAGGACTGGAAAAACAAAAGGGAGGAGATTTTTACATAGCAATTAGGATGCTGGTACTGCCCCTGGGCTGAAGTGCCCTGCTCAGTA